TTTTTTTCTCCTTCTTAGAGGGAGTAGAAGGGGAAGATATTGAGCTCGTTTTTCGAATTAGTTTCCTCTTAGGAAGTTCATGACTCTCTTTTTCACAACTTGGACCTTGCTTCTCCTTCCTCGAAGAAGTACTTGAGGAAGTGGATGAGCGTGCTCTTTCAATAACTACCATAATATTTTATCTTTCTTTTTGTATTTTCCCTTCTAATCTATGTTTTTTATCTTCTTTTTTTTTTCTATTTTTTATTTATCTGATTGTGATGAATAGTAACAACAAATTCAAGTTCAGAACAAAGGAATTTAAACCAACAAAGAACTTCTACAAAGAAAGAACCTGACTTTTTTTTTTTTTTTTTTGTATCAGCAAATTTCACCACCAAACAACAGCAGCAGCAGCAGCATTAGCTTCCCTTCAAATAGACCATCGATCGAACTTCTAAAATATCTGCCAAGACTTTTTTTTTTGTTTGATTATTGCATTATACTGGATGCTCAAGAACAGCTTGGATATTCAACTGTAAAGGTTTCAGGAAATTTTTTCAGACTGTATTTTTTTTTTTTTTTTTAAATTTATGTTTTTAAGTGGTAGGTAAACTTTTTCATCTTTTTGGAGCCACAATGAAGGGGCGCTCAAATCTGAACAAGTGCTACATTATGCATATATATACACTAAAATTAAATATCGAGCTCGAAAAAGTTTATTGACTTGTTAATAATAATAATATGATGATGTTAATAAAAAGTTTAGAAATGATCAAAGTATAATAAGTGTCACTTTTGCCTCTAAAGTCCAAAAGAGAGAACTTTCAACAAGATCAAAACATAACAATTTCCAGAATAATTGAGTGGGTCAACAATGAGAATTTTCAGCAATGATGAACAATTTCCAGGAGACAAATGACAAATTTGTTAGTGGGAAAGGCCAAACTATATATTCAAAAGAATGGTTTAATATAAATTAAGTTATTAAGTACTTTATGTTTTATCAAATTAATAATTAATAATATGATGATAATGATCTAACTTTATACTTTAATTATATGTCATTATCTAAAATAACTATCACTTTTTAACAAAAGTTATTCAGTTTGTCTTCAGATCATCTAATATTTGCATATGTATTGTTTTCCTGAATTCCCTGCCGGCCTTCTCCTCATCTGAAATTAATAAATGGAGTAAATATATTAATTTAGTCTATATTTATTTCATTTTAAGTAAAGGAAGTTGATGTATGCCCTATAAAATTTACTGAGCTTAGAACATGGTGGCCATGATACATGAAGTTATGAATACATAAGCAAATTTTTTTTCACAAATGAAAAATAATTAAAGATAACAAAAACATGGAGGCCATGATCTATATACCATCTATGAATGACAAGTGTATCTTAATAAATATGTATACTTCGTTTATTACGTCTATTTCAAATTACTAATAACAACGGAAATTTCACCATATACCATTGAATTAAACCTTAATTCACCATATACCATCGAAACCTTTTTAATACACCATATACCATACAGTTTAACAACAATGTCACAACATACCTTTTCTGTTAACGCCGTTAGTCATTAACGTTAATTGTGCCACATGACAACTTATAATTGGTTATATTAATATTATTTAATTAATTAACTAACTTTAGAGAAATTATTTTTTTTAAAAAAAAAACCACCAACTTAATTAGCCACTGTCGCCACCAGCCCAGCCCTAACCCCACCCCCAGGTGGCCGACGACCATCCCCCTCCCCCGCCGGCAAAAGTCTCCACCCCAACCACCTCTCCTTCCCGAATTCCCAGTCGGCCACTACCTGCGAATTCCCCTACCCTCCCGAATTCCTAGCGAGCCACCATTTGCGAATTCCCCTCTCCTTTCCGAATTCCCCAACACCACCCTACGAATTCCCCAACACCACCCTACGAATTCCCCTCTCCCTCCCGAAATCTCCATCCACCACCTTCGCGCGACAGCCTAAATCCTCTCCCACACGTCGTTGCCGCCTAACTTGCCAAAAACGACCACCCCGAAACCCTAAAACACCAAAATCGAAACCCTAGATTTGGTTTTAGGGTTTCGACATACGTGGTGGTTTGGGGTGGAGATAGCATCGAGAAGGGAGAAATTGATTTGTCGGTGCCCGGAGGGGGGTTTGGGCGCCGACAGGTGGTTAGGGGAGGGTTTGTGAAGGAGATGGGTTGTTTCCTGGCTGGTGGTTCGATTGTTTTCGTAGGAATTCATTAGTGGTTCAAGAGTAAGGGAGTAGCGCTGGCGGGGTTTCTCGTCAATTTCGGGCCAGTGCGTCGGATTAGGCGGCAGCGCAGGGTTTATGGTCGAGTTTTGCGCCGGCTAGTGGTGGCTGGCTGGAGGGACATGGGTGGCTTGGTTTTGTTACTTTTTTTTTTAATTTTTTATAATTAATTATATAATTATTTTAAAATTAAATAATTTCAAAATGGAACCAATTATATGTTGCCACGTGGCCTTATTAACCTTAATGACTAACGGTATTGATGTCCGTTAGTCATTAATGGCATGTTGTGACATTGTTGTTAAACTGAATGGTATATGATATATTAGAAAGTTTTCGATGGTATATGGTGAATTAAGCTTTAACTCAGTGGTATATGGTGAAATTTTCGTAATAACAAGTTAGCACACTTTTAATAAGAGTTCAAAATTTAAGAATTAAAAAAAATAATAATAAAAAAAAAAGTCATCAACAAAAGGAAGAAATTATTGCCATATTGGTACTCAATACTCATAGTTCATCACTTCATTTTGATCATTTTAATTTCATAATCGGTCGTTTTTGGTTTTTTTTTTTTATTAAATGCAACACTACCTTAAATTACGTAGAAACACTTCATATTACTCCGTATTATATTATATCTCTCACCTCACATGATCTCCACTTCTGTAATTTTACCCCACCTACATTTTATTTACTCGTAATTTTTTTTTTCTTCACATCCATTACTTTTACATAAGGTATTCCTACTATCTATATTCTGTATAATATAAAACTCTCTCCAATGAAAGTGTTGCATTAAAAGAAAAGGGTAAGAGCCATTACCTACCAAACAAGACATTATTCTTATTAATTTTTTAAATAAATTATTAAAATTCTCATTAGTTACTCTTTTTATGAGTTTTATCCAAACAAGAGGTGTTAAAATCTAGCTGGATTAACAAAAAATCAAATTCAAAATTTGACTTTTATGAATGCAATATTTTAATCATACTAGCCGTTTTAAATATTTTCATATGCTTTGTTTCCCTTAAAAATTAAAATAAAATAAAATATCCCTAACCCGCCTATCAAAAAATAAACCCACCCCATGGATCTCACCAAATCCGACACAAATATTTGAATTGGTATTTCTAATTTTAAGCTCTATTACCAAACTCTCATTCTTACATACAAAAAAAATAAAAATAAATAAATAAATAAAATTGAACACCATCAGAGCAAGGCACTCGTTAGTGTCGTTACGTCGTCGTTGTCACACTGGACAACCGCCTGCTCTTCCCATCATCTGCAACTTCGACTGTTTTAAGGTTCGTTCTTTATTTCCCTTCCTTAATTCTGCGAATTAATTTTTCCTTCCATTTTCTGCGAATTAATTTTTCCTTCCATTTGACACTAATTTTGTTCCAAGTTTTTTGAAATTCGGATCTTTAATTAAATTGGGCATTAATCATTTTCATAAAATTTGGTCCTTTTTCTTGGGTCTCCTATAGTATTTAGCGACGGAAGTGATTGATTTAGACTTGTAATTTTGAAATTGGGGAATACCACAAATGTCCGAATTCAATTTTTACCCAAAAAAGATAATTTTTTTACCTGCAATTTAGGTATGAGATTTGGATATAGGTGTTTTAATCTTTAAGGGTGTGACCCTATTTGAGTTCCAGATAATTAAGCTTAATTATATGTGTTTATGGAAGTAAATTTGCTCTCTTACATGTTTTGATCATTGCTATTGGTTAAATAAATTTTTGGGTGCTCGATTAATGTAAGTGATGATAACAAATTTGATTTAAATTTTAATCAGGTGTTTCTGATTTGGGGATGAATGAATCTTCTAAATGCTGTTATCTTGTCGTTCTAATTTAGATTATCCATCGTGTTTGGGTTCTTGAGGTTTGAGCTTGAAGAGCCAGTCCACATACCTTGGTATAGTACTATGGGTTTTGTAGCAGTTTGTCTTGTTGACTGTCACAGTTTTTATATTCTCTGAGGATCATGCATAATTGTGTTAATTTGTCTAGGAGCTGGTTGAATTTTGAATTTTTGATGATTAGTTTGAAAAAAAAGTATGATTTGGAATTGGCTTTCAACTTACCGTTCATAAGTGATTTAGAAAATGAGTCGACTTCAACTTCACACAACAGTGCTCTACGGGTTTGTTAGTTAAAATGTAAGGAGGGGGTACTTTGAATTGTGAGTTGGGACCAGTTTGATGAAGTCGTAGAATTTCTCATAATTTGGAATTTGGATCTTGTATGAAGTACAAATTGCAATTTCTATTTGGATTATAAGGGTTAGACTTGGGGAATATGAGCTAATATGAAGTGTATGAGTATTATGATGAGTTAATGCATCTCTTGGGTAATAAAATCGTGTCTTGTAAGTTGTAACTTGCTACAATTCTTCCAATTATTGAGGACCAAACAATGTTGTGATATACTTTTTTCAAGGACAACACCAAAGTTTAGGCTGGGTTTCTGAGTGCTGCAATAGGTTTTGTGGGTCTCTTGCATTTAGTTTATCAGCTTTTGACTGGTGTCTAATTCTCCATTCAACAAGTACCCATCTTTTGAATCATTTTGTATAGGGTTGTTGTTGTTGTTGTTGTTGTAGTTTTGTTGCCAGTTTAAAATTATTACTTTGAGAGCCTTATCCATGTGCAAAGTTATTAAATTCTACAGAAACTCGTCTGCCAAATCTCTTTTTTCCAGTTTCAAGTTGAAGGTCTTAATGCTGATTCAGTAATGGATAAATGGGAGCTGCTTCGGTATCCTTGTTAGTTGTTACTCTAATAGGTGATCTTCTTGCTGGCCTATTGTCATTGTGACATGGTTTGTCTTCTAGGAATTCCATGGAAGAACACAAGATTTTCATTGGTCAGGAGTTTCCTGATGTCAAGGCTTTCCGAAATGCAATTAAAGAGGCTGCTATTGCACAGCACTTTGAGCTACGTGTAATCAAAAGTGATTTAATTCGTTATATTGCAAAATGTTCTATTGGAGATTGTCCATGGCGTATCCGTGCTGTAAAGATTTCGAATTCCTCCAAGTTCACTATACGAAGTTTGGAACCTACACATACGTGTGGCTGCAATGCTCAGAACGGGCATCATCAGGCTTCTATTGATTGGATTGTGCGTTTCATAGAGGAGCGTCTGCGGGATAATATAAATTACAAGCCAAAAGATATATCACATGACATTGAAAAACAATATGGGATAACAATACCTTACAAGCAAGCTTGGCGTGCTTAGGAACGGGGACTTGAAGCAATTTATGGCTCTTCTGAGGAGGGATATTGCCTTCTTCCTTCCTTCTGCGATCAGATAAAAAAATCAAATCCTGGAACTGTTGCTGAGGTTTATACTGCTTGTGCAGATAATCAGTTTCAACGTCTCTTTGTTTCTTATTATGCATCCATTTATGGGTTCCTGAATGGTTGCTTACCCATAGTAGGGCTTGGTGGGTTACAACTTAAGAGCAAATATCTTGGGACCCTATTGGCAGCCACTTCTTTTGACGCTGATGGCGGGCTGTTCCCCCTTGCTTTTGCTGTTGTTGATATGGATAATGATGAGAGCTGGATGTGGTTCTTGTCAGAGTTACATAAAGCGCTAGAGATGATTACTCAGAGTATGCCACAATTTACGTTTTTGTCAGATGGATCAAAGGGTATAGTAGATGCTTTAAATCGAAAGTTCCCTAGCTCATCTCATGCTGTTTGCATGCGTCACTTGACTGAAAGTATTGGCAAGGAGTTCAAAAATTCCAGACTTGTCCATCTTCTCTGGCAAGCTGCTTATGCAACCAGTATACTTACTTTTAAAGAAAAGTTGGCAGAAATTGAGGACATGTCTACTGAAGCAACCAAATAGTTGCAAGAGTATCCTCCTCAGAGTTGGGCACTTTTGTATTTTGATGGGAAAAGATATGGACATTTTTCCTCAAATGTTGAGGAATTCAATAAATGGATTACAGAAGCATGCGAACTGCCTGTTATCCAGGTGATTGAGAAGATTTACAGTAAACTGACAACCATGTTTGAAGAGCGACGTTCTAAGAGTAAGTCATGGACATCAGTTTTAGCCCCCTATGCTGAAAAACAGTTGGAAGAAGCCGTTAACTTGGCGTCCTCTTACCAAGCCCTTCAGTCTGATGAATTTGAATTTGAAGTCATATCAGCTGACCGATCAGATATTGTAAATATTGGAACTCATTGTTGTTCATGTCGGTATTGGCAGCTATATGGAATCCCATGTTCCCATGCAGTTGCAGCACTTCGTTCTTGCAAAAAAGATCCATATGCTTTCGTAGTAAAGTATTTTACTGTTGAGAGCTTTCGGGAGACATATATGCCCAAATTGCACCCTATCCCCAGGAAAATTGAATTGAAAAGACCTGGCCAGATTCTGGTAAACGAAGAGATTCAAGTTGTCCGACCACCCAAGTTCCGTCGCCCTCCAGGAAGGCCCGAAAAAAAGAGAATTTGTACCAATGATATAAACCGGGAGAAGCATGCTGTTCGCTGTAGTAAGTGTAACCAAACAGGGCATTACAAGACTACTTGCAAAGTAGAGTTTGCAGAAAGGATGTAATATTAGATCTCTCTGTATATTACTAGAAAGCTTGACTATAGCAAGTATATAACATAATTGGCCTCTATTGGCCATGGTGACAGTGTGACACTATATATATCGTTCTGTAAAAATCTGCACATAATTACTGATTATGATGTTCATACGATAGTGGTAGTTATTTTGATCTTTCTCTGTCTCTCCTCTGTCAGTGTGTAGCTCAAGCTATAAGCAGTTGCTGGATTATATTAAATCTGTTGAGGATGTGCATATTTATGAGAAACCTAACTGGCTAATTTGATGCATTCACTCATCAGGTGTTTAGGTGTTTGCCCCTACATTTGCACCAGAATTTGTATACTGCAACTTCTGACTCATAACCAGGTATTTCTTATTCGTCTTCTTGATTATTGATGTTGCTTTACAACTTGATACCCATGTTATATTTTAGTCAATTTATGCCATTGCTCTTGTGCATTCATCATTAACAATTTCGATGATTTTTATATTTTTGGAGAAAATGTTGGTCAATACAACAATGAAATTACATCCAAATTGATGTATGCAGTTTTACCAACTCCCTGAACCCTGATCATGCAAAATACTACAATTACATAGAGCAGAACATGGGACTGGCCTGCTTGGCCTGGTCCAATCCTTCTGTGGTCCTGGTTGGGCTCAGTTTGGGATGAAATGTCACATACTCACATGTCCTAACTCCTGAATATGCTTTTAAAAATTTTCTAGCTATGTCCAGACCCTAACCGGATTGATTTGAGCTAAGTTTGCATGGGCTGCCTGCCTGGCTCACGCTCAGTTCGAGTCTTATATTATGAGAAGGCATGGGTTATCTAACTTATCTTTATCTGTCAACAATAACATAGGTTTGAATAGCAGTGTCTAATGAAGACTGTTGGTCAGCAGTCTGCAGAAAAACTTCATGATTCCCATTTTATTCCCTGCATTTCATTTAAATTGTTTAGTTGTATGGCTACTGCAATTTGCATGCTTCATTAGTTTCAGACTTGCTAGAGCTTGTGTTTAAGAAGGTGCAGGGCCGTGCAGCAAACAATGCAACAAGGGATTCACAGGAGGGACACTTATAATCCGATCTTCCTCCCTACGCTTTATCTTGGTTTGATTCAGAGCCGAGCAGCAATAGCTGAGGGCAAACATCTTGATGTGTTGGTAGCCCTTTTCAAAACGAACTCTTGCTAAAAGAATTAGTAACAGCATGATGGCACATACACGTTTTTTTGGTAAATATCACACTATATATACTTTGTATATGCACCAGCACCATTGTTTTAATGTGTAGAACGATTGTGAATTTTCTGCAAATATCTGTTTAAATAACTGTTAAAACTCTGTCTCAGGTGGGTTATAGCCTACTACCATAGAACCTTGTTTGATGAACAGATCGTATTATTATGTCTAATATGTTGATCTCTATCTTAATCATGTTAGTTCGTAAATTGCTCTCCCCCTTGTTTATGGATATGCTTTTATTTCATTTCGCGTTTGTTAAGAGTTTGATCAATTCATACCAAGGTCTGGAGCGGCTATTGAATGACCGGCTTCTGAACGTTGATAAGATAACTACAAGCTTTACGAAATCCATAATGCGTGATTAATTATCTCCAATTTCTTACTACATAAATCTATTCCTCTTTGATATGTACCTGTATGGTGGAAGAGCAGGCCAAAAATACAATGTGGGATCATCAAAAATTAACAAACTACAAGATCTGTAAGTCATTTTAATAGCCCAGAATGATTGAACAACTTGGTGCTCAATTTGTTAAACATGGCCTTTGAGTATTGACGAGAACACATCTTCCAATCCATTCCACTGTGCATCATAGCTTTAAACTCGTTGTAGTCTATTCGACCATCCTGCATTTCGTACACAGGAATTCAGTCTTTACCACTAGGCCAATACCTCGTAAGTTAACTTTTAGGTGTATATGAGGAGGAAGATTACCTTATTCAAGTCTGCATCGAACAGAATGTCTCGTATGACTTGCTCGTTTTTGGTACCTTCATTAGCATCATCTGAAAGCAACTCTTCTTTTAACTCTTCAAACTCAATGTAGCCGCTATGATCCTTGTCAAAGTACTTGAAAGCGCGTTGAAGATGTTCGTCATCACCCATCTTTTGGAGGTGGATTGATAGTGTTAAGAATTCTCCACAATCTAAGGTTCCATTCCCATCCAAATCCGCCTATACACGAATTAGAGTATACATTCAGAATTTACGACTTGTTTGATAAGCGGCTCATTTACTTCATCTAGGATCATTTGAACATTTACGGATTAACATTTATGTTACGAAAAACTTACAGCATCTAGGATCATTTGAACATCGGAATCAGGAAGAACATGTCCAAGCTTAAGTAGGCCTTGTTTGAGCTCTTCGAAGCTCAAGCTCCCGTTCTTATCAGTGTCCATCATATTAAACGTTCTTCTTAGCTTTTCTACTTGTTCATCAGGTAAAGTATCCGCTACCACCTACATTTAACAAAAATAAACTCATATTTCTTTCGCGCTATTCAAAGTATCTTAAGCCTAAGGTAGATGATAATTAGGTTTACGACACTAATTACATAGGATCACGAGTCAATTAGTGTAGAAACTTTTTATCATCTAAACCTTAAACCTTTACCACCTCGGGACTTTTATTGTAATTGATTCTCTTTGTACAAAGTGATAGCATAAACACGTAGGATACAAACTAGGGTTTTAGTACTTACTCTCAAAACTTTTTTCTTGAATTTGTTCATTAAGGAGAATTGCTTGATCCTTGTTCTCACATTATGGCCTAATGGAACATCGGCATTGTTGTTGGCATTTTTCATCCAAGGGTGATCTTCATTCCAAAACGTGTAGAAAAAAGCATCAAAAGATTTAGTATACATTATTGAAGTTTTTCAATTCAATGTACTACATCCATCTAGATTTAATTGTCACATTACTAGTTGAAATCACGTTTCAACGAGACTATTCAAAAGACTTACCTAGGACTTCATCGATAGTCATTCGACTATAAGGATTTTGATCAAGCATATGCTTTACAAGATCCTTTGCTAGTGGAGATACTCTTGGCCATGGATCTCTATCAAAATCAATCACTCCTTTTACAATTGCTTGTGCAATTCCTTCTTCAGTCTCTGCACGTGTATAAAAGTTGAACCCATGTTAGTCTATATATGCTCAAGAATTCGTGATCATTTCAATTACATCAGTCCAGACTTAGTTGTCACATCACTAGTTTTAGATGCACTATTATATGATTATTGATTTATATTGTCATCGATCTATACGAGGCTAATAAATCACCTGCCCAAAAGGGAGGAACTCCACAAAGTAATATGTAAAGGATAACGCCTGCACTCCATACATCGATTTCGGGCCCATAGTTCCTTCTTAGAACTTCAGGTGCCATGTAATATGGACTTCCCACAATCTCATTAAATCGCTGACCTAAAACCATTTAAATTTATACCTTAGTAATTCATAGAAAGTTAGAAATACAAAGTACTTTGTATATAAAAGAACATTTAGTTTGAAAACCAAATGAAGATAGTTTTTACAATATTTGAATGAGGCCAATTTTTCTTAAATTATATATCGTGTTTGTAATTCATGCTTATAAAATTACCTGGCTCGAAAAAAATAGAGAGCCCAAAATCAATTGCTTTAAGGGCAGCGTTTTCATTTTTGTTCGCAAACAAGAAGTTTTCAGGCTTAAGATCCCGGTGTATGACTCCATGTGCATGGCAAACCTAAATGTAACATTGTAAACAATTCATTACAATTTGGAAATTTAATTTCAAAATCAAATGCGAGCATATATTATAAACATACATTATCATATGTGCATAATAAAAATGATGCAACTATTTCTAAACATAGGTAGCATTTCATTACACACGAATTACCTTAACGACTTACAAAATTGAAATTTCAAAATCAAATACGCACATATGTTATAAACATACATTATCATACGTGCATAATAAAAATGATGCGACTATTTCATCACACACGAATTACCTTAAGGACTTGCAAAATAGTCCTAACAACTTGAGAAGCAGCCCTCTCACAATAATGTCCCCTAGAAACAATCCTATCAAAAAGCTCACCACCTTCACATAATTCCATGACCAAATAAACAGCCTCTTTATCTTCATAAGCCTCTTTAAAGACAACAATATTAGGGTGCTTAGGAAAATGTCTCATTATCTCAACCTCTCTTCGAACATCCTCGATGTCAACCTCCGTCCTAAGCTTGCTCTTCGATATCGTTTTGCAAGCGTAGTTCTCCCCGGTATCAAGCTCCGTACATAGGTAGGTCACCCCAAACTCCCCCCTTCCTAACTCCTTCCCAAACGCGTACTTTTGTTTTATGTTGTTCCCTATGCATGAGTCTCCTAACACGGTGATCAGCCTCGAGTTGGCGGCTGATGACCTTGATTTCCTCCTGGGCACATCCTCCGGTAAGCCCCGGGATCTCTTCGAGCCATTCTTGACACCGCCTTTTCTCCTAAGGTGTCTTGATCCATTAGGGGGGAATGTTGATATGCAACCTCCCATTTTAAGGGAAGGTTGACTATAATTTTAAAGACCTTTTTTTTTCTTTTGTTTTTGAAGGTCTTTTTGAAGGTGGAAATAGATTTAGGTTAAAAGGAAGACAAAGAGGAAGAAAAAATGGAGAAATTAAATTTTGTGATGGTTATAAAATTGAAAAGGAAATTAAAGAAAAAGAGGAGGAAAAAAAAAAGAAAAAAAATGGAGGAGAAAATGAGAGGATATCTTTTTATGTAAATGGTTGGTGACATCTATATGAAGTTGTAAGCCTTCCTTTTTCTTAGGGAAATTGTTTGAATTTAGACATTTTTGTGATATTAACAATAATTTGGTTACATGTTGTTAGGTGTTTTATGATGAATTTTGTTGTTTTACATTGGTTTTTTGAAAGCTGTTACATACTCATCTTTTTGTTTGTGACTTTGTCTCACAATAGTTGTCCACTTTATATTTGTTAAGTTTATTTGACTCGTTTTAATACCCTCTTTAGTGACTCTTTTTGTTAAAAATAAGTTTTCTTCAATCCGCCTTCCTTTCATCATTTTGTGATTCCAACATATTATTATCAAATCATTTACATTATTTATTTTGAATTTTTGTACACATACAAAATCCAATTTGATCAATTTTTTGCTTATGCATGAAAACGAAGATGATCATTTTATTTTAATGTATATTTGCATAGTTTTATTTGTTAATAATTTGTATCACTTTGAGGTAAATAATTAAAGATATTAATTAATAAAGTTGTGTATTTGTAACAATAAGCATGTAAGGCACGTTGTATTGGACATGAATAGTTTATATTTTAGCATGCATGATTTGTCCCTACAAATATGTTATGGCTATTCAATCAATACAAATTTTAATAGTTGTACGTGTAAAGTATCAATAGGATAATCATACAATGTACTAATATCATAATAACAACATACAATTACATAGGTGTTGTAATGTAGCAAAATCTACTAAAATTTGATTCCTACATACATCAGATCCAATTAGTCACATGCATTACCTTAGCTTATGACCAATATATCTATTGTACAGCAAAAAGACTAATACTACCAATCACACCTAAGTAGACTTAATACATATAACAACGAGTACATATCAATTCAAAAGAACCTCTTCTCACGAGAGGAAATTTTAAATATCTCGGCGTACTAATAATTCAAACCCTAGCTATCTCATAGCCAGATTCGCGATGTATTGTTGTTGTTGTTGTCCTAGTCGTTCATCCTTACGACTACATAACACGTTAACATCTTTTTCACGATCGATTGTTGTAAAATTGACGGGCAAGAAAAAGTGAGCCCATGTAGGAGGACAAAAAATAGGTGGGAAACTACAGGAGTCATGAAGCAAGAAAGCAACAGAGTAATAACTCCATTGATATTCCAACATTTGAAACATCAAATAAATAAAACCCATTATTGATATTGCAATACACAAACATACTTCTTCTGATGCCATTATATTGCTAGCTAACTTCTTTTATTTTCTTTTAATTTTTTAGAGAGAGAAATGGGGTAGAGAGAGAGAGATGATGATGATTTAGTTAGAGAAAATTGTCACCATAATTTATAGTAAAATGATAGAAAGGTGAATTCAATGTACCTTGAAAATGCATGAATTAATTCTAGAAAATTGTTAATTTGTTGTATTTTATCAAGTTCAATGGATTTGATAAATTAGAAGATAGGGAAGCACATGTGGTGTAGTGGTGGACCAATTGGGATTCAATTATTTTTAATTTTTATGGTCTAAAATATTGTATTCGTGTGCACATCAAATAATATTTGTTAATCATATGATATGATACATATAATTATACTAAAATTGGACCGCACACAAATTTTGGGTATCATAGATTCAAATGAATGATTATATATTACTACATAGTATTTTATCAAATGAATGATTATTAAGGAGCTGCCCCCAATTAATTCTCCAAATAAACATAATTTGTGTGTGGAGGGGTACATGCGTCTTTTTATGTACTAGTTGAGGGGTACATGTGTAATTTTCTAAATGCAAGTTGCAAACAGTAATTGGACACCTCACCAAAAGTACTGAATAAATGACCACACTTTTTTTAATATATTTACACAAATGCCACCAGATTAACAAAAATTTGTTTATGTGACAGATAAACTTATATTTCCCGATTATTAAGTAGTGAAATTGCCTCTTCAAATTGAAAATATGATTCTTTAGTAATATATTAGTGGCAATGAAGAGAAGTGGCATTAAAGAAGGACCTAGAGGTAAAAGGGTGCATATCATATATGTGAAGCGTATCATGCGCATGGTGCCTCCTTAGAGCCATCATTGGACAAAAATTACTTGCTCCCCACTCAGTGTTGCCTCTTGCTTATATGTTTATGTGTTGTTGTGGCCCTTGTGGCCTTGTGGGTATATATTTTGAAATTGTGTCGCTGCATGTATTAAATCATCTTATCTTTTTAGATATTACAAGAAACTCGGTGATTTAAACCTGCTTGTGTCTGCTTTGACTAGCTCGACCGTCACTGAACCCAAAAACCTACATGTTCCGTTTCCATCGCCAATAGGAAAGAGTTTTCTCTCATAATTTAAGTCATATGTCATCTGTATTGCTATGTGCTCCTCAATCACGTTCCCAACTAACGCTTGCACCGTTGTCGATAAATAGGCAAGTATGCGCCACACGATTTGGTCTTATAAACTTACCAAGCACGGACACACCATTCAATTATCGTGCCAATAATGTACACACATCACACATTAACATACATGGTACAATGTTGGATACATATATAAACGTGTCTAATTTTAATTTTATATATTTAGACACTTGGACTTTTAATTACCATATCCTACTTTAACACCATTGTCCTTAGGGTTGGACACTTTATTTTTAAGAAAAAAAAGTTTTGGTATTTTAAAAATTACTCTCTATCACTGGTATCTTGTTCTCTTCCTTGCATAATTTCCTCCTGTTAAATGATCAAATCAATGATGTTGGACATATATTATTGTATTTCAACCATATTACACAACTTATCAATTACAGAATTTTGGCTTTTAAAATTTCTCTCTTTCTTTTCTGCTCCTTGACTTGAAAAAAGGATACACCTTAGTTGGAAAACAAAAACCACAAGGGCATAACATAGAAAATTCTTGGCATTATAAGGGCAAAGTTAACTAGAAATATAAAATATAAGACGTTATAATAAATAATGAAAAACACAGGGTTACTACATAGAAAAAACTCAATTTATTTAGACCAAAATGTGCATGGTTGCTAATCTCGTGCAAGTTTGCAACCATGTTTACATTCTCTTATTGTAGTAGTAATTCTTTATTGGGTGCTTGGGCTTTGCAATCTAAACCAGTATAATTAGACAATGAATACAATTCTTCATCAATGAAACAAAGTTTTAAATCATAGTGCAGCAGCAATTGCAGCTCTGCCTTCAGCCGATAAGTATTGCATAAAATCTTCATACGCTTGCAGAACCAAGTCTTCATCATCCCATTCATCACGATAAGTCTCTGTTTGTTTTATCAAGCGGACGAAAGTCCCATAAAACATACCCTTCCTCCATTCCTCAGCGGGTGGGCAGCCACATTCTGCAGCAAGCCAATCCTCGTATTCAAATGGCCCAAAGAGCCGCTGTGTAAAATTCCAACATCAAAATCAATTTCAACAAAAATTTCTGTGTGGAATAATCCATTCCTGGACTCCTAGAGATTTTCACATCATTCCTCCATTTTAAATCACTCCTAAGGTAACGATATTATGCAAATTACACATCAAAATCTAGCTAGTCAGTAAGTAATAAATATAGCCGCTTATCAACATTATAATTAAGGACTTGTTCTCTTCAACTTGTTTGAGATACTAATTACTTTTTTTCTTAATAAATTCAGATCAGACTAGACCAGAATCATTCAGATCAAATCAGATAAGAACTTTTAACTATTATTTACTTATTGCTAGATATCATTAATTGTGTGTATTGAAAAAATTATGAAAATTGCATATTTGAAAAATTCATAATGAGACGAATCTAACAAGATTCATTTTGATAATGCTTCTCTATATAGATTAGTATTAAATGCGATCAAAGTTTAGTTAAATTATCAAGTCAGATCAGACTTTATTAAAATCATACTAGATCAGTAGATCTCCTTGTTTCAGATAAAGAGAACAAGTTCTAACTATTCTGTAACAACTTCTTCTAACAAAGAATTAGCACGGTAGAAAGAGTTCTTGAATTGGTAGAAAGAGTTCTTGAATTTAAAAATCATAATCAGGGCCGATCTAGCCATGATAAAGATATTGTCCCGTTTTTTACATATCAAATCTACACCCCTGTAAAAATGTTTCTAGCATGAAGCTGATAGCCTGACGCACAATTGTGTGCTAAGCTCTCATGTTAGTTACATAACTCACATGAGCTAATCCATGTTAAACATGCACCAAGAAGCAAAGAGTTTAGAAGTAAATCATTCTTCTAAAGTTACCTTAGCGTCGTGGATCCTATGTGTGTGACGCTTTGGAACTCCCTTAGCTTCCAATTCTGAGTAGAGGGCTTCCACATCTTCCATCATCTTTTCTTTGGATGGAAGTGATATCCGCCCTGATAAAACGCCTGCTACCCACTTACTTTGAAGTTCGAAAAGGAAGAACGGGAGAACCTAGCATGAAATTTGAGATGACTTGGTCAATTTCTTTGGCCATCTAGTGATGAAAATCATCTCCCTCTAGATAGAAGAAAGTATAACACCAAATTATTTTACCAATAATGGCAAACCAATGAAAGAGATTCCTGGGGCTAATGCAGGAGGAAACACATGCTTGTACAACGGTTCCACACGATTATCATCAACATTTACGGAACCATTGGTGTGAAGAAAAGGAAAATGTTGCTTGTACCTGAAAAAAATGATGCATCAATTCATAAGTAATAATGGTTCTATTTTTTACAGCATTTTGTTCATATAATTTGAAATCA